ACAAAAAATTTTTTATTTTGAATTTTCAATTATTATTATTTTTTAATATTTAACAATTTTCTCCTAATTTTATTGTTAAAATTAAAACTATAAATTAATTATTCCAAAGTTTTTCTAAACTATTTAAATTATTTGTTTAGATTATTATATTTTAATTCTTTATTATATTGTGATAAAAAATCTAGGCGAAACTAGAATAATTACTTCTTTGTGAATGATTTTTTAAATAAAACCTTTTTTCACGTGTCGAGTTATTGAAATGACGTACGCGCGCGTTACTAATAATTCATTTATTTGATTCAATAAGCTGCACCGAAAAAAGGATTGTTCTTGAATAATGGCTCAAAAAAGACAAAAAAAACCCCCCCATAATAATAAAATAATCTATTACCGAAAAAAGTCATTTTTTAGAAGTTTCGATTCTTATTTACCGCTCGGCGTGAAGGGCGAGAAACGCAAATTACGAATGAAGCTTGATAACATTTTATGGTTCTTCACACCACTCATTCTCTCGACGAACTTGCTCTTCCTCCTCAGGCGTAAAATCATTCTCAATATTAAAGGTCCTACGAATTTCCTCAGGTGACTTTTTCTTTATCATGTTGGCCACAGTCTTACAGGTGAGATCAAGAAGAGGTTTGATATCAAGATAATTGGCAGCCTTGTAAAAAGAATAATGAAAAATAGTTGTTATTAGTTGAAATAATTAACTCAAAACCTATAGAACTTACCAAAATTAGTTCAAATAAAGTTCCTTGATCCACTTTACAAAATTCTTCGTCCCAGTCATCAATATCATCAGAAGTTTTCTTATTTTCGTCTTCTTGCGATATAACTGGATCATCGCGGTGGTGTGTGCAATATTCTATGACTTTAATTAGAATGGGTCCAGTAACATTTGGCAAAGGCACAGCTATTTAATATAAATATTAATTAATGAGATTAATATACTACTTGCGAACCACGATTCAAACACTGTAATTTCCAAACTACCCATGTCGCTCTCGCCGACGTCTTCTAGCATATTTTTCAATAAGACAGATTTTTCTGCAACATTTCTTTCGACCTGAAATTCTGTTCCCTCAGAAGAAGTTAACTTGACTGTTTTTACTTCTGTCATATTTGGTAAACTCTTAATTCAAGTGATTCAAGGAGAGTGATAATGCATGTGTATAATTGATACCATGATCGCCAAAATTTCGACTTTTTTTTTGGTGACATCATTATTTACGTAAAAAGATACTTGAACAAGAACATTAACACGTGACAATTAATTCTTTGCGGCGTTTTTCCGAACTCCAAAGGACATTCTCTTTAACCATATTTTTTTAATTAACGTAAAGAGCTATAAAAAATAATGACCGGACACAAGCCACCTTCAGGTCAAATAAATTCAAATGGAACATTAACACCATTCGAACCTTTCGTTTTACATATCGTTGAAGGAATTAATAGAGATTTGACTCTTCTTAACAAGTTTGGTTACCTTAAAAATAATGATTATGAAGATATCGTGGAAAGACTACCGAAATTATTTGAACCACATGCTGCACCACATACGCCTCCCGGTCCCTCGCCAGTCTCTACAACACCAACACCTGGGATGGGATCACCTGGAACATCTTCGAAAAGGGATTCAAAGAATTCTTCTCCAAAGCTTGCATCCCAGGAACGTACTATTAAAGAAAGTGAAGGCCATCCAGATTTAACTCCAGTACTGTCAGTACAACCCTCGTTACTTCAACAACCTTTGTATCCCCAAGTCGAAGATCCCGTTAGTCAAGC